AAAAACCCTCTAATTGATCATCTCGACATCGAGATGTATGAATATGAAAAAAAAATAAGTTTTTGAGTCCCGAAAATAGTGCATCTTGCAATACATTATCTAAACTGTCCATTTTCAAGATTTTCATATATTTATAGATCTACTTGATTTTAACCATTTTTTAAATTTAAAATTTTCTAATTAGGTACAAAAATAGATTTTAAGATAATACTAAGAATTTTTTACAACAAAATTACATGTTATGATAAAATTTTAAGGTGAGCCTTAATTGGATTGTTTAAGGTTACAACCTTATAGAAACCGCACCCATATATATATATAAGAAAAAGTTGGAATTAGCCCACATGCTCATATGAATATATGAGTGAAATGGCCCAGATTGAAACTGGTCTGATCTGACGGTCACGACCTCAATTTGTGTTTGAATTTTAATTTTTTTTTACAAATCCAAATCACTTGAAATTTTAGACGTATGTTCTTCTCATCAAGTTGCACCCTTATAAAAATTAAAACGCATCATAGCAGAAATATGTTATTCCAAAGCTTGTCATATTAAAAGAATGTGATTCCAAATCAAGAGTTCTAGGCACGCAAAAGGTTTGGCAAGTTCTTATGCTCTGTACACTTAAATTTAAACTATATATTAGTGAGATTGTTATTTACATCATATTGTGCTAAAATAAAAAATGTAGGTGCAGACAATAAAAACAATGGTCAAAATTAGCAATGCCCAACATTGTTTTTGGGGTGGATGATCCGCTCCAACGATTCAGGTTTTGAAACACTCGCCATTATGAGTTTCATGATTTATTGCCACCATATTGTCCCTCCAAATTTATTTTATCTCTGAATTCTAATACCCTTGATGACTGGCTACTATTATTTATGTCATTAAGAAACTCATGATTTATCGCCACCATATTGTCCTTTCAAATTTAATTTGATCTCTGAATTCTAATACCCTAGATGACACTAACCCAGTACACCGGGGTCTCACCAGATGGCATGAGGGAGTATTTCATCTATAATTTTTGTGAATCAATTTACAAGGGAAGAAAATGATTTTGAAGGTGAATTGATTTGGAGTTTCAATTTAATTAATACAAGAAAGAAATTGAAGGGTCTTGAGGTCAATTTAGTAATCAAGAAACCGTTAAAAGAGAGACTATGGCTATGTTTTTATTGCAAAAATGAAACTCAAAAGCTCATTTCTTAGCTTCCAAAACTCAAGATGAAATTATGCAAATTCAGGTAAACCAAATTTCTAAAGAATCAGGCGTAAACAATATGCCCATGATGCCATTGTATATGCATAATGTGCAAGAAAACCAAAAGTGAACATGTAGACTACCATGTAAAACACCAGGTACTCGAGCACACCTTCACCAGGCACAAAAGAATTATACTAAAAATTAATCAACTCTGTTCTGTTTGGAAAAAAGAAGTATCCTTAGAGGATAAAAATAAAATAAAATATAAAATTCTATCTAATGGGCACCTTATATGCTTGAAAGTTGCATAATGCTGTGAAAAAATATCAAGAGTAAATGGACAAAACATACTTGGCTCTTGAAGTGAGCTCATGATGTGAATTCTAGTAGTTGCTGTAACACAAGAAAGAGAACGTAGATGAACATAAAAGTTAAGGGAGAGAGATGCAAGAGCTGAATAGTGAGATTTTTAAGGAGAGATTTTAGGAGTAGATATCCATTCAAAAAAAAAAAAGAGATTTTAGGAGTGGATATCCTTCTCTATATGTTCTGCTTTGCACACATAAGTGGTCCCTGGGGACTACGAGAAAAAACACTACTATGGGGACTTTTCAGAGAGCCCCTAGAAGAAAAGCTTATATAAGGTTCACACTTTAAATTGTAGGACCACTCTTCTTAACATGCATGCGCATGTTCGATTGTGATCCTTGACTGAGTCGTGGGTCGTGTGCTCTTTTGGATGCAGTCTTCGGACTGCCCCAGCCATGTGGATATCATACGATGCATGAGTGGCTTGAATACCACTCTTAGTGGGTCCTTGTCCAAAGAGACCTGAAGTAAGTGAGGAAACAGGGGTGAACTTCTACATGCCCTGATGCATTATGGCAATGGTTGAACCAGTAAGTGAGGAAACAGGGGTGAACTTCTACATGCCCTGATGCATTATGGCAATGGTTGAACCATGTGCCATAACATGTGTAAGTGTGTGTGGAGTGGCTTTGGAGCCACTCGAGCAAGATGGTTTGGCGAGGGAACCACTAGCATTATGTGTGTGGATCAACATACTAGTACGAGTAGTGCCTGTGTCAAGCCAAACAATTAGGAAAAAACTCTAATAATGCTGATGTTGACATATAATTTTACAAAACTAATCTTTATGTTTGCTAAAGTTTATATTTTTTTAGTTTGCTAGAGTTTGTACCCAGGTACTCGGCTCAGGAAGGGGCCAAGTCCAAGAGAACTCTGGCTGAGTTTTCAAACACTAGGCTATAATGTATAAAGATAAATATTTTAAACTTTTGAACCAGTAAAAAGAATTAAACAAAAGAAAATTTTAGTTAATAATAATAATAATAATAATAACATGTTTCTCACCCGTTGAGGTTAAGCTCAAACCCATCTCATTAATCATTGAACTCCTTTCTTCTGATTCTCCTTTTCTTTCTTTCTTTTTTTTTTTTTTGGAGTGCTTTTATCTTAATCATTTTCTTCAGCTGCAAAACCACTTCCACCACTCTGCTGAAAAACCAACTCACTTCTCCATTCTTTGCTCTCTCTTCTCAAAATCTCGCATCTCCACTACATCCCATTGTTCCCACAAAAACTCCCAACTTTTCCTTCTCCTATTTTCCCCTTTCTCTCTCTTAAAATACCGCCCTATAATCTAGTAAACTAGTTGGAGTAGCAATAGTTCACCAATAACCCATGCATGAACAGTTTCCATCTCTAAAGTGATGGAACCGAGTCCTATCTCTCACTATAATCTCTCTCTCATAGATCCCAGCCACCAGCTTAATAACCAAATGGCAATCTTCACACACCCTCAAGTTCTTCATCACAATAATGGGCTCATCAGGGCTCAGCCTAATGAGCCCAAAGGCCACAGCCATCTTCTCACTGTGGCCAAAAAGTGCACCCTCTTTCTCCTCCTCATCTATATCAAGAGCCACCTGCAAAACCTTAGGAGCGTAACCGACTTCCCTCAATTTAATAGCCATTGCTCTCATCTCAGCCTCTAACTCTTCAAATTGAGGATGAGACCTATCACCTGCAACAAATTCATGAACAGTTCCATCCACCGTTATAGAGCTCAAACCAGCAATCTTTTGAACTCCTCTCTCTTCCATTATCTTTCTAACATTAATGGCATCAACCCATCTTGCACCACTTGCATATATATTGTATAGGAGAACATAGACTGCATCTTTCTCTGGTTCTAGCACAAGGAGGTGGTTTGCTGCCTTTTCAGCTAAACTGACATGGTTATGGACTCTACAGGCTCCCAAAACAGAACCCCATATAACTCCGTTAGGCTTCATTGGCATGGTTTCTATGAGCTCTTCTACCTCTTTGAAGAGGCCTGCTCGTCCTAGAAGGTCAACCATACAGCCGTAGTGCTCTATTTTTGGAGTGAGATTGTAGAGAAAAGGCATTTGGTTAAAGTGGTACTTCCCCTTTTTGACAAGACCAGTATGGCTACATGCACTGAGAACACCTATGAGAGTTATGTCATTTGGCTTGATCCCTGAGCTCTGCATCTTTGAGAAAATATCAAGGGCAGGACGGCCATGGCCATGCATTGCAAGACCTGAGATCATTGCAGTCCAAGCCATTACATCTTTCTCTCTCATCCCTTGAAACACATGCAGTGCTTGATCAATTCTCCCGCATTTTGCATACATATCCAAGAGTGCGGTGTCAAGGAAAATATCCCTCTCTATTGAGTGCTCTTCTATGTATGCATGGAGTGATTTTCCTCTCTGTACGGAACCAGAATTTGCACAGGCAGTGAGGAGGCTCGCAATTGTGAACTTATCAGGCTTCAATCCAAAAGCTTTTATTTCCTCAAAGAGTGAGAAAACTTTATCAAGTTGGTTGCTCTGCATATACCCGATGATCATAGAATTATATGATAATATGTCTCGTTCAGCCATCTGTTCAAAAAGCAAACTTGCAGATCTTATGTCACCAAATTTACAGTATCCATCTACCATCACATTCCAAGCTGCAAGAACCTTTTGAGGCATCCTATCAAAGGCTTGTCGAGAAGCTACAAAATCTCCACACTTTGTATATAGATTTATCAAAGCAACAGCTAAATTATTAGTCATTTCAATACCTTCCCTCTCTAGAAATCCATGAACCAATTTCCCCATCCGTAAATTCCCCAATAGGGCACAAGCGGAAAGCACTGAAACGAATAAGACTGAGTCTGGCTTGACACCCACCAAAATCATCTCACTGAAAAACCTCACTGCCTCTTGACCCCGACCACACTGAGCATACCCAGCAACCATACTCGCCCATGAAACGACATTTTTATCAGGCATCTCATCAAACACTCGAAGGGCATCATCCATTAGACCTAATTTTGCATAACCATTTAGAATACAGGTCCATGAAACAACATTTTTAAAACCCATCAATTCAAACACTTTCCTAGCAAGCTCAACCCGACCAAACGAGCAATACATATGAATCAAAGAGTTATCAACAAACACGTCAGTTACAGAGATAAGCTTGATAAAATTACCATGGATTTCCATTCCCTCTCTCTCTGCAACAGCTCGTGCACATGCTTTGAACAAGAACTGGAAGGTGTGCATGTCTAAAGACATGTTAGAACGCCGCATTTCCCTGTATAAATCAATGGCTTCTCTTGCGGCATGGTTCTTATAGCATCCTTTGATGAAGGTGTTCCAAAGAAAGAGCGAGGGGTTTGAGATTCGACGAAAAACAAGGCGAGCATAATGAAGATTTCCATGATCAGGATCAGTGAGAAAGAGTAACAGTTTTTTGGGGTTCTGAGGATTGAGAATTAGACCAGTTATGATCATATAGGCATGCACTTGGGTGCATTGCTTTAGGGTTTTGAAGACTGGAAACTGAGGAAACCTGGTTATAGCATTGGGGATCATTCACCGGTTGCTCAATAAAGAGGGAAGGAAGTTGCAGCCTTGCAGAGTTGGAGATTTGAATTTTGCCGGTGGTTTGGAATGTCTAGAATTGTCGGGTGAAATGGGTTTGAACCTTGGAAATGACAGAAATGCCCCTAGCGTAAGTTGTTGCATGCAATAATAGGGAGGCAATTGGATCTCTCTCTATATATATATCAATGTAAGTTGTTAGCTTCTAAAAATCTCTCTCTCTCTCTCTCTCTCTCTCTCTCATTTGTGCGGCATCAACATATCTCTTAAATTTTCTACATCATTTAATAGTTTCTTTTACAAATGTTTCGTGATAATGGGGAAAAAGTCTTCCTATTCCAAATGAAAAGGACTTTTCCTGTTGAGGCGCCATGTCGAAGGAACCCATGCTTTCAAGAAATTGAAGGAGAAATATACCCTCAAAAGAAAAAGAAGAAAAATGAGACTCATCAAAACTCTTAGAATTCTCACTAAATTAGAATTCTCTCATTTCACTTATGTGGTAGCATAAAATCTTGATTCCAACTTCCAAGTATAAAATCACATCATCTCAAATAAGACTTCTTGGGGGCATGTCCCCAACATAATAAAAGTATACTTCTCCAGTCTTTTTACCGAACTTCCCACAAAATTACATACGAATATGACATATGAATCAACATGTAGATATATGTTCATTGCATCCAATAATGGCAAGTAAGGCAAGCAGCTCCAAATAATCAAATTCTTTAATGAATTCGATCAAAATACCAAGCTTCCATAACTTACTTGTTATTGCCCTCAGCTTTGTTTGAGGGCTCAGCATCCCAGCTTGCATCCCAAGGTATGGGTCCACAAGCACTACTGGGCCCACCCCGTATCCTCTTTTGTAAATGTTCCAAGCTCGCTACCCTTTGCAGTGATGGGGTCCTTCCCATCTTGCCCACCATAGCACTGTGGGCTTCTTCCCCACCATTAAGACCCATGTCCATGAGTCCATTACTCAATCTCTGATGGTCATGGATGTCAGTGGGTTGGAAGAAATGCTTCACATCGTCTTGCACAGGAACTGCAGCTCCGACTGATGATGCATCAGATGGGCTAAATTGCGCGCTGATTCCCGAAATATCAGACATTGTAAGGGCAAAGGCACCCCCGCCTGTCACCCTCTTAACAGAATCCTCAGCCATCTTCACCTGAGAGAGAGATAGAGAGAGGGTTGATATATTTTCTCAATGGAAAATTAGCAGTTTGAGAGAAAATTCTTTCTATTCCAAGGATTCTGGGAACACCATAATACTTAAGGCCATCACCATCAATTAATATAATGAATGGGGAGGAGGAGACTGAGACCCACCATTAGGTTCATGTCTGCTTATGAGGGGTCAGTCTTTCTCCATTACCACCCATCCTTTCATTTGAATGGTGATTGGTCCAATTGACGATGGTTTTCTCATTGTCCATCGGAAATCTCCTCCATTTCTCTGAGCATGTGTGCATGTTCATTTATATTCAACAGTAGTTCATTTGGGTGATCCACAACCAACCAAGAATATAGACAGTTATGGTAAGTGAGTGGTATCCATGAGGACAAAACATGGTCAATCCAAATAGTGGGTCCCACCAACTCTTCATGAATATCCATCATTTCATTGGACAATGACAGACCCATTTGGTCTCCCATTGTAAGTAATCATGTGCATGTTTGGGTGTTTTTCATCTTCTTTTTTTCTTTTTGACACAGTATGTATATGATGTGCCAATTCTTGGAACTATTACTCATATGGGTCGGATAGTTTACAATGGGGGTGTCTTCAAGCCGAGTCAAGCTTGGGAATGTTCAAGCATGGCTTGCAAACACCAAGCATGAGCTTGGCTGGCTGAAGGGAATGTAAGCTTGAGCTTTGCTTACTTACACAAACCCATGAACAAGCTTAATCATGGAATAAACAACCACGCACGAGCACAAGCCTACAAATAACATAAGGGATTGTCTACAAAGAAACCATTTATCCTTTTATACATAGAGGTCATAATCATTCCCACTCATTAGATATCAAATTGGATAGCTTAAAGAATTTCTTTCCTTGGAATCTATAATATAGTGAATTTCTATATCGTTTAATATAATACCTTGAGTTCCCTATTCGTGATGAGGTCAAGATAATCTACTTCTTGTATATATCTTTATAAGTAAAGCACCACTTACACTCGGGAACACACATCTCCCAAGTAGACCTTTGCGGCTTCAGCTGTTTGCTTCTTATATGCGTATGAGCTTTCTTTTATATATATAAATTTGTTTTCCATCAGTACATATTGTGTATATGATCTATTAGGTAAAAATTTGTTCTAAATAATAAGATTTAACTTCCTTCATAAAATAAGTTGTATAATGCATTGCAAATTTTAAAATATTTTCAAAAATTATTTGAGGTAGCCAGCTCACAGTACATGTTTGTGGGAGCACAGAGTTCAAAAAGTTTTGCAAAAGCTTTATGCTTTGGTTCTGCTGGTTTATGCATTTGTTTATGAAATACATATTTAAGAAATTTCTGAAAATATAAATAAAATTGATTTTCTTCATAACTATGACAGAAAAGTTTAATATCCAATCTTCAAGTGTTCTATATGAGGGACAAAATACATAGTGCGCACCCAAGAGTTCACTAGGATTTGGAAAACCGGCTGCCCCTCCAAAGCAATAATAGAGGTGCTGGTTATTTGGTGCGGACCTTTTTGGTTTGAAGACCACGTGGTGCATAAGAAATATAACAGCAGTTTTGAAGTGAGGTTTGGTCCTAAAATTTGTGAATTCGCAAACTTTCTTTTTGTAATACATACAATATGCAGAAAGTTTGGGAATATATACATACAAACAAGCCATCACTCACCAAAAAAAAACAAGTCCTTGCATGATCCCCCATGATCATACGTATAGTACTCAGGCTAAATGCTTTGGTAAGCACAATTATGAAGTGCCCACAACTGAGAGGAGTCGAACCCCTTCGACCTTGCTAAAAAAACGAAGATCTATCAATTTCAAATTAGCAAATGCCAAATGCTCTTAAATAGGCTTTATATATATAGGAGTATATATACCATTTGAACTCATAGGACCACACTGTAAACCATTTTTTTTAACGGAAACTTTGAAGAGGATGTCAGACCTAGCCACGTGAGCCCATTAATAGATGCCATATATTGTTCTTCCAAGCTTACCCGTGAGTTTCTATTAAAAAACCATATCATCATAACATACTAGAAAACCATAAAATATTTTAGGAAAAATTACATAAATATCCATTTTAGTTTCTATTATTACCAAAATGCCGAATACTTTCGGTTATTACTTATTTGTCAATTTTTGAACTTCATAACAATTTTATTAAAAAAAAAAGACGAAACTACCCATTTTTTATTTTTTAAAAACCGAAAAATTTTAAATTTTTTATTATTCAAAAACCGAATTTTTTTTATCTCTTTTGTGGGTCATCCGTGTATTATCTCTCTACCTCTCTCTCTACATTACACAAGTAAAAATGGTTTTTTTTTAAATTATCTTTCCCCTTCACCCATTGTCTTTGTTTTGAATAAGTTTCATCCAACGTATTGAGAGAGGAAATTGGCCTGGTCTGATATTCCCAGAATTAACGAGATTTCTTCTTGGAGGTAGGGCATCATGGGCTGGATCATTAGCGTGGGCTCAAACTAGTTGTTCCCCTTGATTTTATCAAAAATCAAATAACTAGAGCACAAGAGAGATAAAACTCCACACGCAAGGTAGAGAAAGAATGCGCCACAAGATTTCTCTTAATCTTCTAATCTCATAATCACAGGCTCAAAAGAATACGCCACAAGATTTCTCCTAATCTTCTAATCTCCTACTCTTTTGTATTTCTCTTAAATTTAGAGGCTCAAACTAGTTGTTCCCCTCTAATATTATCGGATAACTATGACTTCAGAGAGGTAGAGAGAATACGCCACTAGAGAGAACATTTTTTGTTTAAAATTTTTGGTTCTTCAAGAGCAGAAAATTTTAAATTTTCAGTTTTTCAAAAACTGAAATTGGTCTGATTTCGGTTTTTGAAAAACCAAAAATGGGCAGTTTCATCTTTTTTTAAAAAAAAATATTATGAAGTCTAAAAAACAGACATATCAATAATAACATAAAGTATTTGATATTTTGGTAATATCGAAAACTAAAACGGACATTTACGTATTTCATTGAATAAGCACAATATCGAAAACTAAAACGGACATTTACGTATTTCATTGAATAAGCATAATATCGAAAAACGGACATTTACGTATTTCAAAACTAACAATATTTGGTATTTCATTGAATAAGCATAATTTTATATTGTCAAATTATATATATTTAATGAAGGCAAATATTTCAATTTAAAATTAAACATAAATTAAAATTTGTAACAGAAGAACGTTATCAATTAAATATAAAAAAAGAATTAGGTGACCAAATCTAGGTGTTTGGAAATTCAAAATTCAATTTTTTTTCAAAAATTCTCATTTGGTTATTTGCAGGGCATCCATAAATTTTAGATCGAGAAAATATTCCTCAGTGGATTTTATATATGGGGGTAAGTGCACAATGTAATCCCGCAAAAGCATGCGCTACTATTTTGATAAATGGAATTGAGTTTTAGTAGTCACCCTTATCACTAAAATGATCAATACTATATCTCAATAAGGAGGTATCAAATGGGATTGAGTTTTAGTAGTAACCCTTATCACTAAAATGATCAATACTATATCTCAACAAGGAGGACTGAGTGTTGGTAGTCACACTTACAAAGAGTGCACTTGCTGGCTTTGACCTTCACAACCACAGTGAGAATCGCATCAGGTAACAAGTACTATCTACGAATGCATTAGATAATTTCTTGAGCATGAAAAAATAAAATTCTCTATATCCTAGATTGAAAACACATGCGGAGCACGTGTCCCTTGCTAGTTATGGATAATATTAAACAAGCTCAAGTCGAGCTTCTCTCAGCTTGAGATTGGCTTCTTTAATAAACAAGCTAGCAGGCTTGGCTTGGCCTGGGTTGTCAGGCCAAAAAAATACCGTTCATCTTGGCCCGTGACAGGCTAAGCCAAGCCGGCTTCTGAGATAGATTGAATTTTTGACAGTCCTTTCTTTAAAGAATTCATGATAGCTGTAGCGACAACAAAGCCGAAGAAACTTGGGCACAAGTAAATACTCACAGCAGTTTATAACCATAGCCTCTCCAGAGAACTAAAACATATAACGCCTTACCTAATGTCATTATAAATGCACAACACAAAAAGTTGCTCACCTTTGCTCTCAGGGTTTCGACATCTGCTTTCAGGATTCTGTTGTCAACAGCAGCTTCATTATACTTTTGACTAATGTCTGAGAGACGCTTCAATAAAGATGAATTCTCAACTCTCAACTGAGCAACCTGTTGAATTCAATAAAGCATTAAATATAGCTCTACAAAGATTAACATAAATGACCACTAACTTCCCAAATAGAATTAAGAGAGAAGGTCCAAGCCTGTGTCTCAAGCTCACTCAGATGTGCTTGCTTTCTTCTTCTAGAGCGCCGTGCTGACTCCCGATTGGAAATCATCCTGAATCATTTGAGAGATTTGACATGATGATTTTTTTAAAAGTTAAACTGAGAAAGATGAAATATTGTTATGGAAGAGAGGAGACTTTTTCTGTTCTTTTCCATGATAAACAAAGAGAGTTTCAGAAGAGGCTTTCCTAAAAATCTTACCAACACAACATGCAATCACATCCAGCACAAAATATATTAAAAGCACATTTACCTTCTTACACGTTTTACATCAGAAGGATCCACTGGTTCATTTAGTTCTGTGTCAACTTCAACATCATCATCATCTGATTGTTCTCTTGAAGACCCACTTGTAGTTGCTCTTACCTGAGCCCCCACATTCTTTGTAACAGCAGGCAAGGCAGGAATTCCTATAGGGCCAGCAACAGATTGATCTTGAGTCCTCGGAAAGTTATATACATGCCCTGCATGATAAAAATATACAACTTATTATATACCATGTCATTCGCTTTTCGGGGTACAGAATACCCAATCCAAAATATCAAATACTAAAATGTTCGAGGGACAAACTATTTCTAAGTGATTGAGTGGTGCCGGATTAGTTCCTGACCAAGGACATTTAGAAGATAGCTTAGTCTACTTCTATGATTTAAATCTTGCGCCCCTTTATCTTAAGACAACATAGTTATTTATTAGAAACAACCACATAGTTATTCACTGAACAACAAGAAAGTTACTCATTAAAAAAAGGAGTTCGAGAACTCCACAACATTCTAATTCTTCCATCACCCCACCAACAGATAAAATCAACTGAAAACTAAGAAAATCCATTTGTTCCACCATCTCATTACATCCCATGCAACCAAATATCACATAAGTCATTGTATCCAAATCCAAACTCATGGAAGCATGCGATTAGTGCCCCTTCCTCTCCAGAAAGATGGTCCTTCACTATCTGATCCTAATTCATCACAGAGCCTACATCTGCAGATAAGGCTCCGCAAATAATGGATTCCCACACTGGGTACCTCTCCAAAATCTGCACTACTGTCCATTATCCATCACAAAACTAACCCTCTATCAAACTCCAAACAATAGCTCTAATAGTCATCCATGTCCCCAAACAACATTAAATTCTCCTTTTGATACCAATGAAAGGTGACATTGTAGATCAAGTACAATATATGTATTCAAAAAGTTTATTTATTTATGCCCACAAGTTTACTTACATAGGCCACTTACATTGCAAACAATCAAAATAGCAATGCAAACAATCAAAATAGACCTACTACATCCAAGGATCCTCACTTGCTGCAATAAAACATCTTTCTTTTATTCATAAAAATCAGAAAAAATAATACATAAATTAAATAAAGAACAATGGGAAGCCTTTATTAGAATTAGTTACCTCAGATCACCTCCAAAGGACCTAAGTACACCCCACTCTGGTTGACCAACTCAATGGCACACTGACCTACATCCCTACTAGTCACCTTAAGATGGGAAGCTTCAATGCCAAACCAAAACTAGATGGGATAGATGAGAGCACAGTCAAAGCTAGTCACATAGACACATCAAACACACGGATCACCTCCAAAGGACTTAAGTACAGCCCACGCCGGGTTAACAAGCTCGATGGCGCACTGATCTAGATCCCTTTTGAGTCTCAATAAGATGGGAAACCCAAATTCTACGACACTATTATATATACCATAGTGGAAACCCTAGACAAAAGGGTGTTCGCCTCTCTCTCTCCATGACCCCCACATGCCACTCTCTAAAAGATCCACTGCAATGGAATTAATATAAGAAATAATTCACCCTGAAAACTTCCCTGTCTCACAAAATTGGGTATTAATTCTGGTCCTCTCTTACCTTTATCTTGCTCATTTCGTGTGTGGCTAATCCCCACAAAATTGGATGTGCTCATATTATGTAATTTGAAAGAAATCTTTAATTTCCATCTAAAAAATCTAGTAGGATAAATGGCAGGATGTTTGTAGAGAAAGAGAAATACATGTCTAGGTAGTGAGTGGAGCACACAAAATATGTAATATGCATGGTTTAGTATTGTCAAAAGAACTTCATCGGGGATAGACCATGTTGCAGTAGATTAGAAGGTGTGCAGGAGACTGGTCTTATCTATGGCCACAAGAATACGCCTTAAATTCTGCTTTGAAGGAGGCAAAAGATTGCACAGAGTGACACATCTGCTCAGACGATGAATGGAATGTCAAAGAAGGTAGTTTATCAGTCAAATTCATGACCTTTCATAAGAAATTGCAATCCCATATTATGTTTTCTTAGGGTGTTGATCGATAGACAATCTTTGTCATACAAGCCATGACAAAAGTAATTTCATCTGGGAGTAGTGCTCCTGCTCTCAAGCGCAATAATTCCTAAATTATCCCCATTCAAGTTCCTCTCAGCACTGGCTGACAGTAGCCTCTCCTGCACCAGACCCAATGCAAGGAAGATATCTACAGGTACCTTCTCAGGGTCTCCAAATTTTAAACTCTTGGACAATATCAAGAGAAAAAAACGAACATTCTGGGAAGCATTTGTTGAAAAGAACAATAGGAAGAAACACTTTGTGGATGGTTTCTGAAGTTTTCCTTTACTTCATACATCGAGATACCATGTGATACTATCCAAATTCAGGCCCTTGTTAGGCTCAGTGCCATAAACATATGACTAACAGATTGAAACTTCATTGAAATGGCATATAATTCTGAATCAGAAAGCAAAATATTGAAACCACAATTTTAATCACTTAGAGCACGCTCAAGTTCCTGAAATGTAAATCAATGACGGACGATTCCATAAATCAATAAAAACAAAATAAAGTTTTCCAACACAGAAATTTGCTAATTTCAGATCATGGTAAGAAATTCGCTATTTACGGGCCTAATGTATGTTGATGCCATAGGTACAATGTCAGCTGTTGATATCTATTCTTGCCTGAATGTGAGTATAGTCTACTATCTTGTAGAATGTAGTTTCTTTTTGTCTTTTTGCCTAGCATCTGATTATTATTATCTTCAGGTGTAAACAGCATGCATGGTAGAATTGGACAAACTGCATTCCTCAACATATTACTACACAACATTAAACACCAGGAATTTTCACAGAACTTGCAAGATTCTTCGATAGCACCTTCGAATCAAAATGTTATTGGCAAAAACCTATTGAGATACATAGATGAAGACAGACCCAAAAAGATATTATGATAAAAGAATATTATGATAAACGAAGAACCAATAGGAAGCTCGAACCTTTACCAGATGAAAGAAAACCCAATTGTGGAGCATCAGAACCCTGTACTCCACTTTCTGCCAAAAGAGGACAATCTTGTGACTTGATAGCTGATGACTGTTGACACAGGTAGAAAAGATTGGATAATACATGTCATTTAACACTCTACACTCCAAATTCTTAGCGATATATGACACAGACTCTTGTGAATGATATCTCTACATTCCAAACACATAGCAATATAAGACACAAACTCATGTGAATGATATACATTACACTCATGTTGCTTGTCAAACATTCGCGTAATTCACCGTTGAGGTATTTAAATTTAATCAAGGGTGGCAACGAAAAAGAGAAACAGGCATCAATTCAAACCATGATAATTATGTAGCTCAAGTTACAACCAAAACAATTATGCTCTTCAAATGGTGAAGACATAATCAGCTTAAGAATACTCATTATCTTTGAAACTTATTTGTCAACAATGATAAAAAAATCATTCATGATTGTTCCGTTGCCTAGTCAGAATCATCGATTCGGTCATCATATATCATACGTTTATAACTATATAAATAATATTAGAGTACCAGACCAATCTGAAATAAGATTAGCTAACTAGAGTGCGTGGCTTTTAAATGCTAGGCTGCAGGTTCGAACCCTCCTAGGGCCCCTTTCTTTAACATTCAAATAATATGTTTATAAAGGAAAAAGCTTGGGTGAGCCCACTAGCTCATGGAATAGTATAAGCCCAACGGCCCAGATTGAATTTGGACCGATCTGACGAATACGAATATCTGGTAGTATTTTAATTTTAAATTTTTTTTCTACGAATCCAAATCACTTGAAATTTTAGGCGTGCGTTCTTCTCATCAAGCCGCACCTAATAAAAATATAAAAAAAATAATTCATGAAAAAACAATTGACCAAAATACCCCTGAAACTTTTTGGGGGATATTTTGGTAAATTTATTTCATGTAAAATATTTTTTTGATATTTTTCGAAGATTCACCTAGCTTTCATGTACACACGCTCTAAATTTCAAGTGATTTGGATTTGTAGAAGAAAAACTTAAAATTCAAACACTACCGAACATCTGTGATCGTCAAATCGGCCCAGATAGGCCGTTGGGCTCTGTGAGCTAGTGGGCTCACCCTAGCATCTTCCTGTTTATAAATATACTATATACAATATTCAATATAAATATTATATATTGAATATAATTTATAATATACATATTTTATATGTACAATACATACAATACAAAGACACATTTTCTATGTATATAATATTAAATGTACATATTATATACTATGCATATACATACTATGTTTACATATTAGATACTGTATTACACATTATTTGTCTACATATTATCCTTTTCTAAATGGTATAAAATAAAAAATAAAAAAGATAGGAGGGTTCAGACCTCCAATGCTGCGGTCAAAGCCAGACGTTTTAACCAACTTAGCTCTTATATGTGTGTGTGTGTGTGTGTGTGATGTGTGTGATGTTATACCCTTTTTTTCCTTTTTCTTTTGTTTTCCTCTTCTGCTGACTCACTGATCTGGGTCAGCATCGGATCAGTGGTGGGCAACTCCTTGTTTCAAAGCACTGTTTATCAATAAGGCCTTGAAACTCACGATCTATAAGTCAAATAAAGAATAATATCCTAGAGTGCATATAGAGAGTTCTGTCTCCTATGGTACTGTCCAAATTGTGATGACAAAGTTGACTAGGGCTTGTCACCTGAGCTTGCAATTGATCTTCTAAAACAGAAGCCAATCCATAGAGAATGAAATTCCTTCTTTTATCCTTCGCAATATTTCACCGCTTCAATCTTCGTTCAAGCAGTTTTTATTTGTCATATCAGACATAACGGTTACCTTTCTAATACTTAATGTTTAATAAGAAACCATCTATATAAATAATGATGTAGTAAAATATCCATGTTCTTGAACCATGTTTAATGAGATACCATTTCTATAATGATGATACAGTAAAATATCCACGTTTATAACCATGTTCATTTGTACTTTATATACACACATACACACACAAACATGATGTTAAATTTCAATCATAAGAGTAAAATTAATATTTGAAAAAGCAAATTTGATCGCTATTTGAAAAAATAAAAACATTAACCACTATTGTATCAATCTCAGGATGCATTTAAGGTCCCCAGCCAACTGTAAAAGGAAATTAGGGGATAAATATTGCAAATGGCCAAGAAAAAGGGAAACATGAGTCAAGAGAGAGACTTATTATTCTTTTTTGAGTAAGTTAACTGTAGGAAAGACTTTTTCTTATTCTTTTTTGAAGTAAGTTAACTGTGGGAGAGATTTTATTTTTTTTTTAAAGTAAGTTAACTGTGGGAGGGACTTCTTAATTTCTTTGTTTATTATGAATGTTATGGCTGCATGTATTTGGACAACAAATCCTTGGTATTCAGGATGTAATCCCTTTATGTCTGAATTACGCCTTTTCAAATTTGAACTGCAAACCCATAAAAGATCTTGACACGATCACAAAAACAGGAGACCGCAACCTTAGCATGATTAGCTACAAGTTACTAGTTGGGTTCTGACGCTAGTCCTTCAGGTTTTCTTGATAACAGTAGAACCAGTCATAATGGTTTTTCTATGGAGTAATCTTGGTTGCCAAATTGCGCCCCCCCCCCCAGCCCGCCCCCAACAACAGCACAAAAAAATCCCAAAAAAAGAAATTAAAATAAAAACTAAAATAAAAACTTACAGTTACAGACCACAGTTATTGCTAAATATCAGCCAAGAAACAAGCCACAAATTAAGCTGTGTCCATTTCGCAGGAGATTGATCAAGTTAAACTTAGTTGGAAGGACTAAAGGAAACTCAGAGCTGACACATTACAGCGAGAAAGCAATGGCAAGATTCTAAAATGTTACATGGCCTTCTACGTGAATATACTTCAATCAATACATACTTCAGGAAAAAAATCATAGCTGATGAGGCATCTCTTTGAGCATTATAACATAGGCCACCCATCCTGTGGAAACTAGAAGGAATTTTGCTTTGTTTTTCATTGGATTTTGGATCCTCTTATAAATGATTTTTTCATGGAGATAAGAGAATAATTGGACTCGCTGTGTCAAAATATAGATGCATAAGAAATAAGATAGATATCTTGGAGATGAGAAAAAGGACATCAGAGAACTTGAACATTCAATACTTTACCTACAACCCTCTTAGAGTTCATCAAAATTGAGTTCTCATGGTAATGGACAAGACCTATTTGTTTTTTACCCTTTCCTTTGCCCTCAACCTTTCCTCAGTCCCTAACAACTTTTTTACCATCAAAATATTCTCCTATGTCAGCACTAGATAAGATATAAATCAAAACAAAGAATCCTATATCATAAAATGCAAACAAGGTTAGACATTCCATCATTTTCAGTTACCCAATAGAGGGAGATTCCCATTGTGTAAAGCAACAATAAAGTAACGAAAGAGCGCTCCTGCATATCTCCATTGGAATTCAACAGAAGAAAGATAAATTGGAAACATATAAGAAAATGGAACTAAATCAAATCAGACTCTCATGAACGTAATGAAACTCCTACTAATCAAACACAACAACCGTGCCTTAAAATAATGATAAACTACGAAACCGCGCCAAAAATCAATCAATGAACTCAAAAGAAATGAGGAAATGGAAGAACCAAGCCCGAATCAACAGCGATGAACCACCAAAACCCAATCAAATGCTTCAACCAAAATAACAACAAAACCCCAAAAAACTCACAAACAGAAAATCAAAAGAAACCATTTTTAGCGACTCAGCCATCAATCTCACCCGAGTTAGAGCAACAGCTGCACAAAGAAGGTCAAGCCTCTGCTTGAGAATTGCCTGATGATCCTGAGAGCCCATGGGAATAGGATTTTCATTCGATTGCGCCTCATTCAACAATGGAGGTGGATTCTCGATCTCAACAACTTCGTCCTCTTGTCTTTTGTTGTTATGCGAAGAAGAAGTTGCAGAGGCCTCTTCCAGGAACCTCTGAAACGCCCATTCTGAGGCACTCCTGTTCATATTCGAAACCCTAATTTTCTCTGCTTCTTCTTCATTCGTTAATGGTGGAGAGTGAGGATTCCAGTACGTCTCTGCAATGTCCTCCACAGAAAATACCTTATTATCCATCTCAGCAGACTTCCCTTCGCTTCCTTCTTTCCTCCGTCCAGGGGTATTTATAGTCAATATATTTTATTGACTGAAATGCCCCTCATTATGTTTGCTATATCAAAATGGTCATATCACCCATCAAGGCGGCTTTCTTTCTCTTTCTGGGACCCTTCCTCTGTTCGAATCAGGGGTATTTGTGGCTTTCTTTTTCTGGATAAGCTAAATGTACACATTTGCCCCTGATTTTGGTCCAAATTATCGGGTTTGGAATAAACTTTGAGGTAAGAGCCCGGGATTTTTCTTGAAATGGCGGTTATGGCCCCTTCGAAACAAAAAAATATTCATAGCAAAAAAAAATACAAGTTTTTTCCAAAACTAGCAAGGTCTTTAATAATCAATCTCTCGAGATTCATGAGCAAATCTTATTTCACTATAATGCTCACCTCTTTGAAAATGTGAAATCTTGCACAGCTCTTTGAATATGTGAAATCCTGCATCTTGTTGCTAAATTTTGTAGAGAGCGGAAGAGAGGTAGAGGGTGAGAAGATACTGAAGTTTTTAAAGAAGGGACTGCGAGGTTTTTAAAGAGAGGAGAGGGGGTGGTCAAATCGTTTATATTTTAGATAACACGAACAAGTTTGTCCTACCTTGTTATGGTTATTGGAGATCTGATGACGACCTCTACTTACTCAGTTTTTGGGAGTCACTGTTTCTAGAGAGAAAAAGGCTACTAAGCTTGAATGGAACGAGGTTAGAGAGAGAGACAATAAGCAGGGAGGAGAAAGAGGATAAAGCATGGAGGAGACCAGAGAAAGCAGGGAGGAGAGGGAAGAGTGTGAGGATTAGAGAGTGTAAAGTTTTGAGAGAAACGCAACTCAAGCCAAAAATATTTAAGTCCAGACTTGAATATTTTTGGCTTGTGGTTTTGGGGCTAAAGTGGTATCTTTTTTGATGAACTATAAATTTTTACAAGGTTATCCAAACGATTTTTACTATTTATCTTAACTTTTTTTTGCTTTGTCATTCTAAAATATTGTAACTTTGGATACATCTAAAGAAGCACTAAATGTTGGGTTTTTATTAAGGTTATTGTTTTTATGAGTCCACGTAGTTTTGAGATGGATTTTCTTACCCATTTTTTAAGGACATATAATTTCTAATATGGAGATCATGAATATAAAAAATTAATTAAAATTTTAAAAATAAAATAATAACTTTTTAAGATAAAATTTGGACCGTTAGTTTCAATTGTTTTTAAATGGACCACCTATTTGCATCTGTATTTAAGATAGATGCTTTATACCTTAGGACCGCATATTGTAGAAAGGCAGTCTAGCTCACATGAAACAATTTTTCTTTTAGGAAAAAACCCTGCTCTAAAATAGGTACAATAAAACATTGTTGAATGTGCCGCTTTAAGAGATATTATCTTTCTTATTGTCATTGTTTTTGGTTTGTGGAAACTTTATTAGTAGTTAGAAATTTTATAATTAATAATTGAAATTGGCCAAAAAAAAAGAAAAGGTGTACAAAAATAAATAAATAAAGATCACTAAAAAGACGTGGAAAAGGTGTACAAAAATAAATAAATAAAAATCACTAAAAAAAAGTGATCAACAAAGAAGGCCCATGAACTCTTCTTTTGGCAAGAGCATCGACATCTACATTTACCTCCTCATTGTGAAAGGAAGTGGAGTATCTTTACCTATGGTTTAGGTATCTATGACTTAGTTTCTATTACTATCATTTGTAATTTGTCTATAAAAGACATGTATCTACATTCATACGATCAATGGACACATGAGTCTAACTCGAGACTCTTCATATGGTACAGAGCTAGATTCATCTTAACTGTATTCATTCTTCGTCCCTGAAGCATTGTCTTCGATTTTCAAGTCGAGTATGTTGCTCACCCAGTTGGTGTAACTTCTGTCGAGTTATGTTTCGATTCTCTACTGAGTCGTGTTTCAACTCTCAGATCTGTCTCTCTGCCGAGTCGTGTTTCGACTCTCTGATATGTCTTCCCTGTCGAGTCGTGTTTCTACTATCTGATCCGTCCTCTCTAAAAAAAAAAAAACTCTAAAAGTTTGTTGTATGATCGAGTTTGTTGCCTGATTACTCGATCAAGTCTGTTCTGGTAAGGGAGCTATTGAATCTGTCTCAGATTCACATTGAGTTATGTTGACTCTTCCAAGTGTCATTCTCTTTTCTCAGTTATCTGCACTGTTTTATCTTCTCTGGTGAAGATCTAAAGTTTTTGTTCATTGTTGAACTCCGTTTTGTCGTTTTGCTCTTGCCATCTGTTTTTTAGGCCTGTTGATCAGCCATTGCTCCGCTGCTGATTTAAGTGCATGTTAGTGAAGCAATCTAAGTACGCACTTGAAGATCCAACTGTTCATTTTCCGCAACTTAGTGTTCAAAATCCAACTGCTATCTCTCATAGCATCTTGAGATTGAGGGGGAGTGTGAAAGAAAAGTGTATATTGTGTATCTGGTTAATATAGAAAGTATATATATTGTATATCAAGCTAATATAGAAAGTATATATTACAATCAGTATATATGGGAAGGGTTGGAAAAGTATCATTATGCATGGTTTAAGTATCTATGATTTAGTTTCTATTATTATCATTTGTAATTTGTCTATAAAAAACACTTATGTGCAGTCATACGATCAATGGACACATGAGTCTTCATATAAACCTGAGACTCTTCACACCTGTAACAGTTGTCGTGGAGCATGATAGAATATCCTAAATGTAATTAAAATTAATCCTTAATCGCCAAAGAATGTGTGCCCCGCTCTCTCGATGCTCTCATTTCAACTATCTATGAAATGGTCAAAGCAGTGTTATTTGTTGGAATGGGTCATTCACCAAAACAATAATATCATTTTCCTTACAATTTGGTGTCACTTATATTTCATACGGCAACCACAGGGAAATGAAAAAAGTCAATACAAAATATCTCAGTTTTCATAAATCTCGGCCAATATTTGCAATATTTAAAGACAAATGAAGATATTCATCACTATTTTCTCTTCCACCAGGTCATCTATTTTCTATAGGACACACTGCTTATTTGGAATATCTTTTAGACAGTTTTATTGCCCTTCTTTGTCGAGGAAATAACGGATTTGGCCTTGGTTGCGTTCTCTTTTTGGATGCACATGGCCACTAAGGCAGTGGTCTGTGAGCTTATGTTGGGGACGGCCATAGCATTTCTATTAATTAACGAAAGTGGTCTTCAGGCTTATAATTAAGGAAAATGTTTATATAAGGTTGCAACCTTATACTGTTGAAATAAGGTACACCTCATAATCCTACAGATAGGAGTGTTCAGGCATTGGAGAACTCCATTTGATCATCTTGACATCAAGATGAATGGACATGAAGAGAAAAAAGAATTTCAAGTCTAAAAAATAGTGTATTATGTAGCAAGTTATCTAGACCGTCTATTTTTAAGATTTTCAAGTATTTATTGGTTTGCTCGATTTGTACACTTTTTTTAGTTTTTAAAATATGAAAAGAGAGTTTTGAGCCATCACAAGGATTTCGACACCTAAAAGACATCTATAAGTAAATTTTTTAGGCATGACAATACAAGGAGACAACCTTATAGAAACATCACCCTAAATTAAGTTTTGGGTGAGGTTTGTATAAAGTTACCTCCTAATACTATAGAAGTAAGGTACACCTATAAAATTCATTTAGAGATATCATTTATGTGTCGAAAATCTTATTATCTTCAGTTATAAAATTTTAAATTTAAAAAATGGTATGGATCAAGCAGATCAAGAAACACTTGAAAATCTTGAAAATAGACTGTTCATATAACTTGTTACAAGATGCATTATTTTTAGACTTGAAATTATTTTCTCTCTTTATCTCCATTAATCTCAAGATCGAGATGATCAGTTGGCGGGTTGTTCTATGCCGAAACACTCCACTAGGATTTTTGAGGTCCACCTTACTTCAACAGTGCAAGGTTGCAATCTTATACAAACTTTATTTTTCTTTCTTTCTTTTTTTTTCTTCCATTCTTTTTTTTTAATATAGTATCTAGTACTTTCATATGCAATTTTTCTTTCTTTCATAGTTTACAACTTGAAGGCCTAAGAAGGCAGAGGTTTTGATGACAGAATGAGCATGTAGTTATGTAAATGAGTGGGTAAACAAATTTAATAATAACTATGGTTTTGATAAAAAAGAAAAAGTAAAAAGGGATGGAACCCAACGATCCAGCAATTCCGGATTGTCTTGTCCCTCACAGACTCGCCGAATTCCATGAACTCATCCGATTCTCTAAGGGACTAGGGCGAGTTCATCAAAATCAAACTGATCTATGATCCCAACAAGGAAATGGGTTGGTTGCTATTGATTCCTTCTCTAGATCAAGTATCCCCATTCTAGAATATGACCAATATCCTTATGATTTTTGTTGGAGATTCGAATACACAGAACGCAATTTAATTAATCACTGAATATCACACATTCAATATTGAATATGTAAAATCGATAATCCAATAATAAGCTCAACGATCGTGTGCAACAATTTAAGAAAATAAATTAGATATGGAAAACATAGTCATGAGAGAAAAATAGATAAACAAACCACTACACAAATTCAATGTGGTCCACGAGCAAGCCGGCAAGTCACTATCAAAGAAGATACAATGGGAGCCGGCAAGTCACTATCAAAGAAGATACAATGGGATACAATGTTATCTCAAGGGAGAAGATTAGTAAAAACCATCACTAATAAATATCTTCTTGTGATAATCCAAAAACCACGATTTACGTCGTTTCACTTCGAATGATCTAAGAACATGAGCAATACAAGCTCATACAATTCTTTTTTTAAAAAAAACAAGTTCATACAATTTGTCTACTTAAATTGGATAAGAAATCATTCTTCACCTATTTCATTTTCTCAACATAACCCAAAGAAGCCCTAGCCCATTTCGAGAAAGAGAAGAGTTATAACTGAGAAGGAAAAATCGTGCAATCCAAAAATCTCATATTTGGTTTTTATAAAGTTATTTAATTTAATGACAAAAAAGCCTCTAAACAAATAGTAAAAGACAAATTTATTTTAAGTGATTTTCTATCAGCATTCAACAATTCTTCATTAAAAACAACTATTCTCGACTCGGATCGATGAATTTTGAACTAGATGGAACAAACTCGAGGACATTCTATTTAACATGATTTTTTTTTATAGAAAACATTCCATTGGACAAAAAAAAATTATAGAAAAAGCGAATTAAAATGTTGCCCCTCCTTCCAAAGTTATAGAGGATTAATATGCTCCGGTGGGAGCAAAATATACTCATGGGCAAAATCACATATTGGAGTACTTGAAGGTTCAAAATTTTATACCTACTTAAACTAGCCGCCAACTTACGAAATAAAAATAACAATACACATTGTGAAACTTCGTGACATATGTATTAGAAATACACATAAATTAGACAATTAGGTGCTAAAGAATATGTTATTTTACGAGAAATTATCAAAAAGCACTGAGAAACTTCCTCATAATCACCTTAATCATGGGGCGTGGTTTTTTTACATGAAATTCCAAATTGCAAGTTTTTAATTTCTAGGTTGGTCGTTGGGAGTGTAACAAAACAAACTAATTAAGATCGAGTAAAATTAATAAAAAAGTATTTTAAACAAAAAAGGTTGTCCAAATAAATTTAGATGTTTGTTATTTAATTTTATTTAGTGATACTTATAAAATATACACCAGCACTTCAAAATTCAGGTAAATATATTATTTAAATAAAAATAAAAAGTAAAATACAAGACTAATTTTCAATCGTTGGATATGTATGAGATCTCGGCCATTGGAAGCAGTGATTTAAAAAACATCAGGTCGATACGCAATCGCCTGACCCGATTCAGGAATTGGTCACCTCGTTCCAGTTCTGCATATATATAGGAAAACACCTGAGTCTAGAAGTGAATCGGTGGTTCTGCATAGTAAAACGGTGATTCTCTACAGTAAAATGGCTATCCAAACCGTTAATTCACTCATCCGAACCAGTTTTTGGTAAGTTCACTATTTTTTCACATGGTTTTTTGCCAGTTAACTATTTTTTCCGCACTGTAAAACAACAATCTAGACCATTGATTCATTGATCCAGACCGAGTTTGGGGTGCCTGATCCAAGCCACCGATCCATTTTTTAAATGCGCACCCTACCACCCCTCTAAATGATGTAGACGGGATACTTTTCGTAATTGATTTTGGATTTTCAGTATGTACAATTCCAATATCACAAAATAAACTGGACATGCATCGAATAACAGTAATTAGTACAACTTTAGAGAATCAAAGTAAGGTGCACTTTCAAACTTTATTGTGAGATTCAATTTTGGAGTTAAAATTTTTAGGATAGTGTGATAATTTATTTTTATCTCTAATATTAAATTTTATATTTAAAAAATAATTATATTTAATTTAAAAACACATTTAAAAAATATATATATATATAGATAATACGTTTCAAAATATACTATTTTTAAGACTTGGAAATCTATTTTTTTCTCTCTATATATGCTTCTCGATTTGGAGATGATGAGTTCATATTTTTCAACATCGAGACGACCTTTTTCGAAGGATAAATTCTCTCTAACTCAACCGGTTCCATGCCCCCACCACCATCAAACCACACGATTCTCTCCCTCTTCGATTTTCTCTCAACTCTGAAACAGCTCCACCAGCTCCATGCGCACGGCATAATCAATGGCACTGCAAAAACCCAATATTTCAGCTCAAAATTACTGGCCTCTTATGCATCGTATGACCCGAATCAAGCTCACTCTCTCTTCTCTCTCATTGAAGCCCCCTCGCTATTCACCTACAACACCCTGATCAAATCATTCTCATCTTCAAACCCATCTTCCCTCACCATCCACCCTTTCTGTCTCTACAAACAATTGCGACACTCCAGCGTCTCCCCTGATAGCCACACGCTCACATTCATGATCAAGGCGTTGGCTTCAAATCCAAAGCTAAAAGATGGGAATTCAATCCATTCTCATCTTATCAGAAGTGGGTTTGATTCAAACCAGTTTGTCATGAGTTCATTGATCAAACTTTACACAAAAGGAGGTTCAATTGTCTCTGCACGCCAAATTTTTGATGAAATGAATCAACCAGAAATTGTTGCATGGACCGCCATGATTAATGGGTACTTAACGCAAGGTGAGCTCAATGAAGCATTAGCTTTGTTTAAGCGTATGTGTATGGTGGGTCCGGAACCAGACTCTGTGACTTTAACTGTGGTTCTCTCAGTTTGTGGAAAATTAGGGGACCTGGGTGTCGGTATGCAAGTGCATTCCTTCATAGAAAAGCATGTGATAGAGAGAGATTCATTTCTTGGCAACTCACTCATGATAATGTATGCTGAATGTGGCTTCTTGGATATTGCACACAAGGTGTTCGATGAAATGCCTCGCAGAACTGTTGTCTGCTTTAATTCTATAATTTCTCAATATTTGAAGCATGGAGAGGTTGAAATGGCTAGAGATATATTTGGGAAGATGCCATTAAGGGATGTGGTTTCATGGAACACAATGCTTACCGGGCTAGCGCAAACAGGACACAGCCAGGAGGCTCTCACACTTTATCGCGAAATGGGGACCTTTGGGATGAGACCCACTAAGGTAACAATGCTGGGTGTGATATCCTCGTGCACGGACCTTGGAGCTCTAGGATTAGGAATGTGGGTTCATGCCTATGTAGAGAAAAAAAGCTTGAACTTTGATGGTTTCTTAGACTCTGCGTTAATTGACATGTATTGTAAGTGCGGGAGCATTGACATGGGGCTCCAACTCTTTGACAGGGCTTTGAGAGGGGATCTTATGTCATGGACATCAATCATTTGCGGATTAGCTTCACACGGGCATGGGGAACAAGCCCTACGTTTATTTTCGAGAATGCGAGAGTCAGGCATCGAGCCAGACAATATTGTTTTCTTAGGGGTCCTTAGTGCTTGTAGTCATGCAGGCTTAGTAGACGAGGGGATTAGGCATTTCGATTCGATGGAAAATGAGTATCGAATAACTCCTAAGATTGAGCACTATGGTTGCATGGTCGATCTATTTGGCCGAGGTGGCCAACTAGAAGAGGCACTAAGGCTCATATTGGGTATGCCTATGAGGCCAAATGCTATTGTGTGGGGGGCTTTGCTCAGTGCTTGTAAGGTTCACAATGATGGAAGATTAGGAGTGATGGTGGCAAAAAGGCTTTTAGAGTTGGAGCCAAGTGATCCAGGTAATAGCATATTGTTGGCCACCATTTATGCGAGGGATTATGAATGGGATTGTGTTATGAGGCTTAGGAAAGAAGTAAGGGAAAGGGGCTTGAGAAAAACACCAGGGTGCAGCTCCATTGAGGTTTATGGCATTGTTCATGAGTTTCTTGTTGGAGATAGTTCACATCTCGAATTCAAAACAATATACTCAATGTTGAAAACAATTGAAGAGCAGATAAAGAATACCACATGTTTTCAAGACAACTAGCAAAAAAAAATCTCTTTCTTAGCTAAAATAACCAATGATTTTGTTTGGTAAAAGGGAAAATAACAGGTTGAAATAGAAACCTGATAAAACTTGACCTTTGAATGGTTCTTTTTCTTTTCAAGGGTAGGTACTTCAGAAGGATATAAAAAAATTGCTTTAATTATTAGAGGATTCAGTTTTGGCATCTTCTAAAAATAAAAAAGGATAATCTGATGAACATGTAGATCCTGACGAGTTCAAGCCTAAAAAAGCAGTGTTTAAGTACTCATAATCATGCTCTGACTTGCCAGGGGTCCGACTAGGACTCGCTCTAGTCAGAGCAAAGCATTTCTTAAAAAAAATTAAAACCATATGCGAAAATCGTGAAGTTGCGTGATTCCTAAGTCTTTTGGCGTGGAATGATGCTTGAATCGGATCGGCTATTTTTTAATCAATTCGCACACAACATTTCAAGCTATTTGGTTAACTAGTGCGATGTAGGTGGGAACCCACTATTTTACTTCGTATTTTGTAGTTGTGTGCACGACAAGCAACTTTGATTTGTTTAGGAAAATTCCATTAAGAGTATGATTCTCCATTCATTGGTTATGAAAATTCAATAAACAAAAAGCAAAAGTACAATTGCTACATTTGCAAAGCAAGTGGGAGCAGAAAAAAAAAAAAAAATGCTATCTAATCAATGTTATGTCTGTTTCCCTTTTTCTTAACACGATAAATTTGTTTCTGCTCTAAACTAATGGATTATTTGACTTTAGGGAATTAAATACTGGTTTAGCTTTTCTCTTAATGATATGGCTTATCTGAAACAACACTTTGGCTTATCTGAAACAACACTGTGAAAGGATTGTTTTTTCAAGCAGCTGGAGAATTATTTCACAAAAGCATGTGATTCATATGGAAGGTCGTTGAAAGAGATGATGATTTACACGCATGCAATGGCACATTTGATTCGTGTGAAAATATTTTTCGAAAAAAAATCTCGCGGTAGATGATGAAGTGATATTAATGCCACGCACTTTTAGACTGGAGTGCAGTTTTTGTGCACCCCGCTGGAGCACATTATGTTTTTTTTTTGTTTGATAATATTAATAGTTTTTGTTGATTGACTGCTTGTAAAGCATCGAGACCTATTTGGGAGGAATTTCATATGCTAAAAAAGGCCGAGAAAGGTTGATATCGAGTGCAAATTTAATTTTTTTCCTTTTAAGATTTGTGGCCAGGTTGAGAATGTTCTATCTCCAAATCAGGGTCCTAAAACTACTAGTAATGGGCCTTTACCCGAGCGAGTCAAGGTAAGGGCCCTTACCAAGCGAGTCAATGTAAAATATGATCCTGCTAGAGCATATAGTCTTTCGGATTTAGACAGACTAATGGGAACAAAAAATTCCTGCTGATTCAGATGTTTTGCGTCATGGCGTACTCGCCTCTCAGTTATAGAACAGAGACTACACTTGATCTTAGCCAAAAGGCCTAGAAAGGTATGTCCTCATAGATATAGAATGTGGTCTTAAAATTTCACAAGTCGATAATCTCAACCACCATAGCTATGAATCAGAAGGACAAAATGGATCTGTAGTAGTAATTTGTAGTTGTAGTTTGGTAGTACGAATTCCATGTTAAGAGATAGAGAGAGTATTTTTTTTTTTTTTTGATAATTCAGTGAGGAAGATATGCCCGTACCCGTTTTTTTCAAATAGATGAGGGGGTAGCTTTTTTTTGAAGATGCCAGCGAGTGGTGTCATTCAGCATGATTGAAAATCACAGCCTGATAACTAGGTATGGGGGTGCTAACACCACGACCCAACCCCTTCCTAGAGAGAGTTGTCCATTGCAGAGTGCACATACTGCCTGCCTGCCAAAGTGATTACATGAGAGAGATTGCTCCCTTGTTTATTGCACAACGTCCATGCTATACCGCTTCATATTTTCATTTGGTTATATGCAATGTTCTGTTTATAGGCATGCTGTCTCAAAATCCAAATTGTACATTTCTGCAGGTCCAAATTGTCCACTTGGATATGAGACCAAACTCTCAACAAAAAAGGGCCCTGATTTATTAAAACAGGTTGTTATCCTAAAATTTACTGGATGAGTCTTCCCACAACTGAAGTCCATCAAAATGGATGGCCCAGATTGAGTCTTGGGGAGGATCTTGAATTGGCGCAACAACTTTTGAGCTTCAATTTTTTTTTATTTTTTATTTTTTGATGTATTTTTTTTTTGAGGTACTTCAATGGGAAAGATACCGTACCCATTTTTTAAAGTGCCCGTGAGTGGAATCAACAGAATTTGAAACCACAACGTGGTAACTAGATATTGGGGTGCTACCACCATGACCTAAGCCCTTTTCTTAAAGAATGTATCTTTCGAATAGTTCAATGGTAAGAATTGAACTTGAGATGCAGCCATGTTAAATGTCTACTTCTAACCACTCAAGCTGATACCCAATTTCTAAATTAGGGTGGATATTGTTTTTTTATTTTTTACAATGTTACATAGGAATGAAACTTACGTAGTGCTATGAAAACCCAGCTGCTACCGTCTTGGCCCAAGACCGATTCCTAAAGGCAAGGATTATACAAGGAGTCGAACCCCTCACCCTCACCCTAGGGAACAACAAACATGAACATTACCCAGGGCGCTGAAGTGTTTCTACCAACATGTTTGAATTTTGGGGTCCTATGTAACACTCCTAAATAGAGATTGACCTGCGGGTCCAAATAAAAAACTGACCCACAAGACCGCCATATCTTCTTCCTTATCTGATCAATGACAATCAGTTCTATTATTTATGCTTTGGTAGAAAGTTTCAAGGTTTACCAATTTATTTCATCATACTAGTCTACACATCACCAGCTACAAAAATTAAAATTGCTGGACGGAAGATAACTGCATCACACAGTTGCAGGCTCAAAGCCCTCCCATGACATGTAGTCAACACTGTTTGACATTTAAATCAAACCCCCAATAAAAGGACAAGAAAAAAAGAAGCAAAATCAATTGCACAACTACATGACTAAGGCAATGCAGCTCTTAAAGACTTGGTAAAAGACTCAAGTTCCTTGAGCCCTTCCTCTGGAGAGCTTGCATCACCCAATATCCTCACCATGGCACTGCCAACAATTGCCCCATCAGCCCCCCATGCCGCTACCTGCAATTAAATTCTACCGCTTTTGTTATTTTTAACAGGAAAAAGTTTA